GTAGAAAGGATTATCTATTAGTATTATTAGAAAGCTTGCGTTTCGAAACGATGAATGGAAACAGCGAAGGTATAGCGTATATATGTGAGCAAGCTGCTGATGGTTAACTCTGCTGATCAAATGAACAAAGAACTATACACTGTACGTGTCTGTCGCATCCAAAGGTATACAAAAGGAAGCGTTTTTTTTCTTGACAATAATTACATTGGTGGTAGGTAAGATGTCAATGTTCAGGAAATAGCCTAGTTCATTAAACACCAAACGACTGAAATAGAAGACTTCAGAAAGCCTCAGGTTCGATCTTATTATTTCTTGAAGCGTCCTGGCATATATCGAAACTCATGGGACCTGCGACGCACTGATGAGATCTAAAAAGATCGTAATCGCGATCCGCATCTGGCAGTTTCGACAGAATACAGACCACTTCCAATTATTTTATTCGATTATGGTAACGTGCCTATCACGTTGAGGTGAGCTACGCTGGGATTCGTTTCAGCAAGTAGATGTCCGTATTTTTAAATGGACCTTGCTGGAGCATACGTAATCCTAACATGTAGCATCGTACTACAGATGGCGTTCACCACGCCATTTGTGGTATTTTCTAAAACGCGCTGTTAAGACAGCAGGTAAAGGTTGGTCTGTGTTCTGTCGGGCTGCCTGCGACGCGCTGATAAGATCCAAAAAAATCGAAATCGCGATCCACGTCTGGCAGTTTCGACAGAATACAGACCACTTCGAATTATTTTATTCGATTATGGTAACGTGCCTATCACGCTGAGGTTAGCTAAGCCGGGATTCGTTTCAGCAAGTAAATGTCCATATTTTTAAATTGACCTTGTTGGAGCATACGTAATCCTAAAATGTAGCATCGTACTACAGATGGCGTTCACCACGCCATTTGTGGTATTTTCTAAAATGCGATTTGATCTTTATAAATGATGTTAATAAGTAAATGTCTGACATTCAAATACAATCCAAAACGTATTAAAGCACAGACATATATGAATGTTTCCTTTTACTTGGTATGTTCATTGCTGTGGACTACAGGTGACATTTTTCCGAGTAAAACTGAGATTTGAATCGCTTCATGGTTACAAACAAACCTTCAAAGGTATGTGGAGGAAGGAAGAAGGCTCTCTTAGGATTACGCCCCAGTCGTATTTGTATAAATTCTATGTGGCGAGTTATCACAAATATCGGTAATGCTCCAGAGATAAGATCGAAAACTTATAAGGAAGTAAGACTATACGCGAAAGGATTAGAAATTTTTTAATCGGTTGAGGTAGCCATCGGCCACGGTAGTCGAAGCATAATATAACGCAATGTGTGCCGATGCCGTTCCGTAAAAGCTTTATTTAGTTTTCTTCCAACCCAAATTGACTTTTCTCGTTTAGATTAGTCGGAAATATTAATCATACATTGTTACGTGGACCGACCTTTGCCTACTCTGCCTGGGCAGCCAACGTGAGGCAAATGCGTGAACGTTTTTTTAATATTAATTTATGTAATGCAATGACATGCATCAGGCGAACAACCGACTGGTGAATATTAAATTTTTTATTGTCTCTTCGAAACGCTGGTGTCGTAAATCAACACTTACGCGGTTACTTACTGCCTTCGTTGTACAGATTAGCGCCTATCGCTTTCGTTTAATAATATGTGAAGAAACGACTACTGGCCTGGCTTGGCTACAGCGTGAAAATATCACTCTAACATAATATACAGAGTGACCACATACGAATATGACCCGGATAGTATGCAGGAATGAACAGAACAAAGAGGTTGTCGATATTGGTTAATATTACGATATGTCAAACTGTCAGAGGTAAAAAAGTTTTGGGTGTTTCATTCCCACCAGCCAGGCGGGTAGTCCCTCCAGACTAAGCCGGAAAGAAGGACGGAAGACCCTGTTCAGCCTCCTTTCAGGAATCGTAGGAATGGGTGGGTGGTGGTTCGAATGAGAAAGTTGAGACGGACGAAATGAAGACAGAAGAGAATGAAAGATTATCTGTGGAATATTACTGCCGCAGCATTTGTCTTAGTGCTCCAAGGAAACCATAGAAAAACTTGGACCGAGGCAGACGGACCCAAAATCGAACCTCCCGAATGCTAAACAATGGTCTAAACCTCTAGGCCATAAAAAAACTTTTGGGTGTTTCATTCCCACCAGCCAGTAATGCTGGCGGGCGGGCAGTCCCTTCGGACTATGCCGGAAGGTATGGCAGAAGACCCTTATCAACCTGCTTGCAGGAATCGTGGGAATGGATGGGTGGTGGTTCGGGTGAGAAAGATGAGACGGACGAAATGAAGACAAAAGAGAATGAAAGATTTTATCTGTGGAATATTACTGCCTCAGCATTTGTGTAGGTGATCCAAGGAAACCACAGAAAAACTTGGACCATGGCAGACGGACCCGAAATCGAACCGGCGTCCTCCCGAATGCTAAGCAATGGTCTAAACCTCTAGGCCATGCCGCTCGGTCAGAGATGGGTTTTTGACCGTCTTATAACGAGTACGGGAAGTGTAGTGAACACCATCTATTAACGAATTAATGAATTCCACAATAACCAGGAAATTTCTACAGATTCCGCTCATAATGCCATCTGTACTTCACAAAATAAACAGTTCTGCTTCAGAAACAGAAGGTACTGCTTATATTGAACGTAAATCGCTAGATTTAAACCATTTCAAACCGCTTCATTAATCAAATCTAGTACTAAAACTTCTCATTTCGATCACGTATTTCAATGGCCGCATGGATTGAAACGTAATTCTTGGAAATAAACAAATAAATGAAGTTAGTTTAGAATTGTCCTTGTATGTCGGACTACCAACTAAAACAAAAAGGGAGCTAAGGAGCATTTTTAGATACCTTCTCCCATGCTTGGACAACGTAAATACGAAAATGTTATGCCTTCGCCTAAATTTTATTTTTACAGATACTATTGAACACGGTTACATGTTTGTTTTCGTAGTCCATTTAAAATAAGGTGGGCCGGCAACTTCGTTGGTGTTAGCGCCACAATTCCGAGATAAAGTCTGACGTAAATTGGTGCCTGTCTTATCTTTTTAATTATTTCCCGAATTTGTCGTGTTTAATCGGTTGACAAGACCCAAAACACTAATTGCTGTTTTTGTTGTCTTGCCAGTATCTTTTACCCTTATTAAGACGTTTCCAAAATTGCCAAATTATGTATGTCGATTAGAAAACAACAAGGAAGATAAATAATGAAATGTGTTCTCCATTTACCATTGAGATGTTTAGATAGAACTTTAAGCCATTCGTTACCACAATGTCTGCTTACCTTTGAAATTCAACAACACATTCTGTATTCAATACATTTTATCATATATCTGTGTTTGTCCATGTGTCTTAACTGTGAACAAAACGGTCTAAAAGTTCACTTACAGATATTAACGAATGATTAAATAACGAAAAGGGTAAAATCAGTATTTTTGCGGAACTAAATATGTGTATGGTTGGTTTCATATACACATACTGTAACTGAATGTTATAACCAATAAATTCAGGTGTAGGTATAATTGGTTGCATATACATACATGGATCATACAAAAGTCACCGAAATTAAGATGTAAGTGTTAAACACTATCAACAACGGGTTCCACCGCCTACATTTGGACAGGCTCAACTAATTATTAGATATTATAATAGCTGATAGTGCTAACATTGAATCATAAAATGAATTGAAAAAGGTGGAGTAGGGTGCATCAGTTCAACACAGTCGCCCTGTCAAGTGGGTTTGTGAATACCAATAAATAATAATTATATTGCCGAATTGAAGAGTCCGAAACATTTCAAGGGATTTTTAAAGAACAAACCGTTCAACCATGTATGGACTTCCATTTGGCAGAAAAGATGTGAAAAGGCTTTTAGCTCTTACAAGACTTTTACTGTCGCTCTCCTGTCTAAAACACCTGTTGATGTGGCGTCAGCGTTACCACTCTGGTGATATCTCGCCACCTCGACAGGTAAACGCACTGTCCCACACCACGATCGAACTTGATCGATCGCAGGGAGTTATCGTAACATGCAATTTGTCCGGATAACGTGCTGTTGGTATAACGATAATGTAAATGGTCGAATGATTTTCTTAATTTAACGAAGAAAATGACACTAGACTTGGTGGTACTATCTTTCTTGTTTTTTTCTTATACAGATACATATAGCAACAAACGACTTTACAATATTCTATGTTGCTATCCACGCGTTCCACTATGCAGTATAAAATAATAAATAATAAATATCGTTATGACAAAAGGTCACTCATGTGAGTGTAAAAGTGGTTCCGTCGTCGTTTTCCAGAAAGAGTATTTCATATCAAACAGGAACAAGGGAAACAACAGAATTTAAGTCATACGAACTCTCTTGGAAAAAACCTAATTGCTCTCCATTCCCGCCAGGTGATGCTACTGGTTGCAACAATCTGCAAATTGTTGAGAACAAAAGAAAACTAAACTTAATAGCTAAATATAAAGATAGCAGACGAAAAATTAGAAGAAGTAGCTGATTTTCGTCATCTAGGAAATGAAACAATTCAGGATGGAAGGACCAGTAGGTACAACAAACGATCGGACAGGGTCGAGTCACCTTTAACAAAAATAAGTCACTCCTATACAGGCTAATGATGAGGACACCGTGGACAGAGAAGGTTAGAAATGAGGAAGTATTAGAAAGAGTAGGAAAACTGATGCCAAATAGTTAAGGATGTACGATGTTCTAATTTTAGGAAAATAGGAAGATTAGCTCAGGATAGGAAAGAATTGAGATCCGTGTTCAACCAGTCTTAAGACTGACGACTTTACAATGATGATGATATTTAATAGCTAACTTTAACTAAAGCATCATGAAGATGTACTGTAGTTTTCGATATCTATTTACTTTTTAACACCTTTTTTAAAACAGATTTTCTGCCGAATAATGTTTTCAGATAAGTTTAGCCAACATTTAATTATATTATTTAAAATTTATAAAGAACCACTTTTGAATGCCTGTTATTTTATTTTTTACCAAGCTTGATACATAGCTTTTAAATTAATATATGTACTATGTAACTAATCACTTTCACTTTCATTTGCCATATAATCCTGACCATACATTCCGTATTGATTAGCAGCTGAAGGTTGTTCTTCAACGTTTGCGTTATCATTACCATTTACATATGCAGTATAATCCATTCCATATTGATAAGAGTCATCGACGGACTGATCTACTTGTCCTTGTTCGTATTGATTATAGGGTACAGCTTCTTCGGAGGAGGAATCATCGTCTTCTATGACGCCGTCGTTTACATATTGATTAGAGGGTGCAACTTCTTCGGAGGAGGAGGAATCATCTTCTTGAAAAGTGTCATCGTTTCCATATTGATTAGAGGGTGCAACTTCTTCTTCGGAGGAGGAGGAATCATCTTCTTGTACAACATCGTCTCCATTCACATATTCAACATGGTATGGAAGTTGCAAAAATTGAACACAGGAAGCTCTGTTGGGATAATCACAACGTTTCGAAAGGTCGTTGAAAACTAAACCAGCTGGGCAGTCGAATTTTACAGGCACCCCATTGGCGCATTCGTAGAACTGATTGCATCGAAGAACGTTAGGGAAGAGGGCGCCTTCGCCGAGGAGACTACAATACTCTACGAATTTAAAACAGCATAATTTAATGAAACTTATCTACCAAATGCATCTGGATACAGTGGATTTAGTTTGACGAGAATTGCAAAACTAAAGCAACAACTTTTTCAAAAAAGCTACATTCTTCAGCAGGTGGTTGAAAAGACTATTTCATTTAATGCGAAGTTACATCGATATATATTTTGTATACGAGTGGATGCGATTTATAAATATACTACCTTTGTTTCTTGCATCAACGTAGCTTTGGTAGTTTGAACATCCAGAGTGCTGTGGGAGTACACAACTTCCATATGTTGAACTGTAGAGAAGACCATCATCACACCGTCTAGATACCAATTGTCCAAAACTGCATTGATAGTATTTACTACAATCATTTCCACTTGCATATGAAGCTCCTAGGTTGCCGAATCCCCAGCAGACGCCTGTTAAAGGAACGAAAACCACGTTTAATTATTACTATATTACTATACATTGTTATAACATGTGTTCGTATCGCTGACCAACTTACCATAACCATAGGCAGTGGAGATGATGCCACAAAATGCGATAAGAGCGATGACTAAAATAAAAGGATTAATTACTCAGTTTGTAATTCTTATTGCTGTAGAGCGGGTGTGAAATAAAAGTCAGTGTAGGGGTAAAACCTACCTCCTTTTTACGGTGTTATTAAAAGTAAGATCTACCTATGTCAGTTTTAACAAATTTGTGACCATGAAAATGTTATGTTGTTATTTTAATATTAAAAATTTGTGAAAGGTAGGGTAGATTCATATTTTTAATAAAATCCAGTTAATCTTCACTTCTGACTTCACTTAATTTGAATGAAACAATATGAAGTATATAAAGAAATTGATAATATTGAAGATTGAAAAGCAATTCTATTCTTCCAATATACCTAATACTAAAATGATACTGTTGGGGTAGATTTCGTAACTGTAAATTGATAATGTCCAAAGAACGTGGTGAATGGAAAGTGCTTTGCTTAGTACGAGCATCAGGTGAAATGACAATTTCGATTATAATTTGATAATTATTTGCCTTTACTAAATTTTATGCAAATAATTTATATCAATGACGTGTCTACTCAAAAAAACTGATAATGTGGTGTCACATGCGAATGATATGATTGTCATTAGTTTAGAGGGAACTGAATTGAGAACGAATGAGCATACAATGTTAATTCAGCAGTAGCTAAATTAAAAAAAAAAACAAAATAAACGTAAGGATATCGGTGAATACCTATACGACATAAAATTTATGAGGATGGTCAAGTAAAAAATGTAAATATTATAGGATATTTATGTTTTGCCTTTCATAATCGAAATACTCCAAGTAATGGTGTACTGAGGATGGTCAATTTGCTACTATCTATACTATAAAATGGATGGTCTAAATCGTCTTTAAGGATTGTGATACGACGATTTATGACATTTCCAGGAACTTATCTTGAGCTGTAGCTACTAGTGTGGGCAAGATTATATAGATAGAATTGACCTGACGAAGCGACTGAATGAAATAACAACGCGATTTCAGGCAAAATTTTCGAAAGCGATCTACTCATTTCAATTGAACTAAGTTACATGAAGAAAAATAAAGATTCATGTAAATTATTTAAAAGCTACTGTTAATAGTTAATCTTACCTTTCATACTGGAGCTTTGTTTTCTTTTGCTTTGAGCACTGAAACAGATACAGGACGAAAGGAGAGTGCGGTAGCTTATATAGGTGCTAATACAGACTTTTATCTAATGTATGTACTTGAAAAATTCACATTTTAATGTAATTTAATAATTGTTAATTAAGATTGATTTTTTTTGTCGGCACGTTTTTATAATTTTAGGAATTTTACATTCCTTCTGATTTTTTTCATTGTAGCGTCTGCCAATTACGTAAATTTGATAATTGTCCACAGTATCATTGTATGCCTATACAATAAGTAAAACAAGTACACTTCAAATGAATACTTAGTTCAGTTAAAAAAGAAACACGTTTATCAAAGGGGGCACTCTCAAGT